TGAAAACAAAAATTTGGATGTTATATATACCGACTTCAGTAAAGCATTTGACAAAGTGTGCCACTCGTTGCTCATCTATAAACTTGATCTTCTTGGTCTTCCACCTAATTTTCTACGTTGGATCTCTTCATACCTCTATGATAGATCACAAAGGGTTATGTTTAAAAACACTATTTCTGACGTCATTGATGTTACTTAAGGAGTCGCGCAAGCTAGCCACCTAGGCCCGATTCTGTTCCTGCTTTTTATAAACGATATTTCTACAGATATAAAATTTAAAAAAATTTTAATATACGCAGATGATGTGAAACTTTATAAATCGTACGTATCAATCACAGCATGCTAACTGGTGCTATGTAAATCGTATGCCTCTAAATGTGGAAAAATGTAAACTAATGTGCTTTTCGCGAAGAGCTGTTCAGACACTTTTGGAACAGGTATACAATTTTGTGGACCTTGGTATCACAATGGATCCGAAACCTTATTTTAATCCTCACATTAATGTGACAGTCAACCAGAATAAAGGTGTACTTGCATTTGTGAAACGATGGTCAAAAGAATTTAGTGACCTTTATATCACTAAAACCATGTTTACAACATTAGTTAGACCGATTCTGGAATAAGGTTCGGTGGTTTGGAATCCAAGGTATGAAATTTACTCAGACAAGATAGAATCAATTAAAAAACAATACCTACTTTTTGCTTTAAGAAATTTCGGTTGGGATTCTCAATATAACCTTCCGCCTTATACGAGCCGATTAAAACTTATTAATCTTCCTACACTTGTCGGTAGCAGGGAAATGCTTGGTACAATTTGTATGGTTAAATTACTGACAGGCTCAGTTTCAAGTCCGCTTCTTATATATAAATGAGTTTTTTGAAAAGGCACATCCCACAGGCGTGAAATTTTGTATCAGATACAACTTCGGAACTATAATTCACAAGAATATGAACATTGGTATGAATACATACCCAGTAGAAAAATGTAATGTATAGTAATCGAAAAAATAATCAGTAAAACAGCCTTTTTCACATTCGAAAATGCATTTTATTCCCCAAGGCGCTGTCTTAAGAAAAGTGGGGAATTCAATTTTGCATTACCTAGAATAGAGAAATGAATGTGTTTTAATATGAAATTTTTGGAACATTTTGAATACATCAGAATGCTGGTTACATAGTTATCAGTAATATAATCGAAAACTCATAAGAAATACATTATCACAGTAGCATGTTGAAATGACTCGCTTATATATACACGAGATTTGGAAGTTTTTATCCAGACGTCCAATCGCCATGTTTGAGATATCGTTGGAAAGGTCTTGCAGAGTGTGTCCAGAAAATGTATTCAAGCTTCATAAAGGATTAACCAGATTCTTAGAAAGTATGCTAAAGTGTTGCGAAACAAAAAAAGTTTTTTGGCTTTTGCCGGTTTAAGAGGGCATGAGGGTACACCCAACATATTTAGTGTTATTCTATAGGCCAATACCTTTCAAACGATACCTTATATATTACGCTCCGGCTACTAGTTGGAAAGATATAGAGCTAAATGTATTTTGGTTCGTGTCTCCACTACGAGATGCTTTGGTATGTATGTGGCGTCTGTACGTACCTGCATTTAATTTCTTTCAAACCTTCAGGAATTAAAGAACAAAAAAAACTAAGATGTTTTGATTGTATGCCTTTGTGGGCGTGGCTGCTGCCTGAAATTCGAAAAAAAGGCCATTTTTTAACTACCACTGAGGCCACAGTACTCAGTCCATGTCATTGATGTCGATATCAGTAGAAGGGTCTTCAAACAAGCTATCTAACGCTATTTTTTGTGTTTATAAAATATAAATATGTCATAACGTTATCGCCTGAAAATCGGGCTGCTGAAAATATACATTTCGGGAATTTTCTCAAAAACTGGTCAGTCGATTTTATTCTAGGTTTCCACAAGTCTAGCCCAAACCCCTAGCTTCCATCTGGTATATAGCTTATATCTGGGAAAACTCTTGTTGTGGTGATATTGCGATTCAAATTGAAAAAATGTCGCTCCAAAAAGGGTCGAATGGTTAAAAATTAACATATCCGTCTAATTTGGTTACTTTAAGATATAAAAATAACATGCCCAGTTCTCCGAAAAAATTGCCCATTCCCCGGCTGCGACTTAAACCGAAATTCCCTGCAAATCGGGGAATTTCCCGCGAGTTGACAAGTTGAAGGATGCAGCTGTGCTAATCACTTCGTACATGTCTTGGAAGCCACAATTTATGTGTATTTTAGAGTTTTTTTCACATGCCGAAATTGTAACATTTTTCCCCGTTTTAATTGCAGGTATGTACACAGTATTTAACTATGCTACATGGGTTTATTACCCGCACTTAACCAACCTGGAAAGACGCGTACAATATTAACTACAGTTGAACATAAATAAGTATGTATGAATGCGTTTAGTTCACCCAATGTGCCGCTACTACTTACATACATATGTATAAATTGCCACTGAGTAAAACTACTTGAGAAAAAAGCATTAGTTTAATAGCACGTACACGTGAAAGAAGTAAAACTTCTTTAAAAAAGCACATGTATGCGCCCCACACCCGGTAGAAATCTTAGCAAAAATAAACTACGAGACTATCAGACGAAGAGAGTTTTTTACTGTATCCAAAGTTGGTACCAAGTTGATAAGTTGTTATCGTATCTTATATTTATTTTTAATTTTTTCGAATACAAAGGATATGATCATTCTTTTTCGCTTTATTCCATATTCGAAAAATTATATGTTTCAATGGACACATCGATTTGAATACATAATTTAGATTTAGATAATATTTTTAGCAATTTATTTAAGAAAAATAAAACTGAATTTTCGTCGATTTTAAATTTGCACCCCAAAATAATTGATATCAAATAAAACACCTCTTTGAGGTTAAATTTTCGAGTGACGAAAGCTGAACTAGAGACACAAAATTTATGATATCAATTTCGTGACGAAAATTATACGCATTTTTTAACTGCCTTTGAAACGTGTGGAAAATCTTTTATTTATTTATTCGGAACGTTGCGAAATTCCGTTCACTGCTAAAAACACATTAAAAAAAACAGAACTTTTGCAACGATTCGTATGAATAAAAAGAGGTTTTCCCTACGTTTGAAAGGCAGTTAAAAAATGTGTATAATTTTCGTCACGAAATTGATGTCATAAATTTTGTGTTTCTGGTTCAGCTTTCGTCACTCGAAAATTTTACCTCAAAGAGGTGTTTTATTTGTATTATTTATCACGCATGTAATGCAATACTACTTTTCCGACTGGGTATCCATGGTAGGTGCTTATAGTAAGGTTTGTATCAAATAAAACACCTCTTTGAGGAAAAATTTTCGAGTGACGAAAGCTGAACTAGAAACAAAATTTATGATATCAATTTCGTGACGAAAATTATACGCATTTTTTTAACAGCTTTGGAAACTGACTGATTTTTTGTGTTGTGTTTCTAAGAGTAGTTATTCAAATATTTAACACGGAATTCAATTCCATTGAAACATAGAAGTTTTTTTAAGAAGCTTCACTTCTATCACGAGTACGGTGCTGCACTCGCCTTTTTTACTGATGCATTTTTTCTCAGTGGCAATCTGTACATAATTAGTAGCGGCACATAAAGTGAAATAAATGCATTCATACATAGGTGAATATGTATGTATGTATGTACAAATGTAGAAAATAATGTAAGCGTCTTCCCAGGTTGGTTAAGTGCGGGTATAGTTGCATACTGTATACATCAAATATCCCGCACACGATATCATTGCATTCACACTGAATGTGTACATACATGTATACTTACGTATGTTCAAGAAAACAAAGAAACCAGCTAAAATAAAAAGATTTCTTATTTATTTAATCATGTATCGCGTACAGAGAAGTCAACTCGCGGGAAATTCCCCCGATTTGCAGGGGAATTCAGTTTAAGTGGCATCGGGGAACGGATAGGGATGCAAATTTTGAGCAGTAACATCGATACATCGATGTTTCGATGCATCGGAGCAAAGAACATCGAGGCTAAAATACATCACCAGAGAAACATCGATATATCGATGGTTTCCGATGTTTTGCAATTTGTTAATTTCTAGTTAAATTTAAAGCAATATTGAATACTTTAATAATTATAAATGTATTTTTCTGTATTTTATTATCCTTTCTATACCATTTCTATTATTAGAATAAAAATGCATACCATCGTAAGGGCGTTCGGGGCTAAAGATCCTAGGCCTGATCATGTTGAAATTCTAAGGGGTGTTTGGTTCTGTTTTAACGGCTAGGTTATTAGCATTTAGAATGAATCCTACAATTTTATTGAGCTTGGGGCCGTTTTTATGAAAAATGTTGTGGAAAAGCAACAATTTGCAGAGGTAAGAAGTTATAGCTGCTATTTGGGAGATAACCACATCTACTAACACTAGTTTACACGAAAAAAGTACCTCGATAAAAAAGTGCTTTCTAGCTTAATTTGGGGTCGCTGAAAACGAAAATGACACTCCTTTATTTTTCTCAAAAAGCGTTTTTGCAATTTTTGCAAAACACCTGTTTTCGTGTCTTATTCCAGTTTTTCACCGAAATCTCCGAGGAAGTTAATGTTATGAAGCAATGATATACATTTTTAGAAAGGTACAGACCTCATCTTTACAGCAAGGTCATTATTGGTAATCTGGTGATTATTACTTCCACAACAGCCGTTCAAAGTTAAAAAAATTACCATTTTTTGAGCTTTTTTGGAAATGAATGAGGTTTATTAACTTTTTTTCATAAAATACAAATTTTTAATGCAGATATATATGATAACAATTTTAAGACAATTCTGTCACATACACTTTAAGCTAAATATTGCTTCGATCGAAGAAGAAATGTAGAAGTTATGACGCATAATGTAATTACAAGCAATTCGAGGTTTTTAACATTTTCACACTTCAGGTCGAAAATATGATTTTTCTGTCAAACTTCTTCGTTTGTGTTCCATTCTGTCTTCTCGAAGTTGCATCCACCAATAGTCGCCCATCATGGCCTGACCCCAGAAACCTTCATACCGATTTTTGATAGTTGCAATGTTCTGGTGAAATCTTTCGGCTTGTTCGTCGCTCTCAGCTCCCAAATGCGGTGGAAAAAAGTCCAAAGTTTCAGAGACATCCGAGCACCTGTAAAAAATAAAATATTTTGTAAATTATTAAAGTTTTTTCTTAAAATAATTATTTTAATCCATGCAAGGTATAACCGTTGAAGATATTTAGGTATAAGTCACAAAAAGAAAATTGCATGGATTTTCACAAACTTACATTTAACCTAAAAATACTTCACACTCACCAATGGCATTGAAGTTTTTCATCAAATTGTCAATCAATTTACGGTCGTTTTTGCTTCTGTGCGCTTAAATACGCTTGAATGCGCTTAATCGTACAAAACATGGTGCACATGCAGAGTTTGGAGTCCAATGTTTATCCGAATTCTTGGCTTGAATTCCAAAATATTGTTCATAAGCAGTTAAAATGTTTGTGGTTATTTTTTTTTCGAGCACTTTGTTTGAATATGTACAAACCACAAATAAAGCAAAACTTATCCGGTGAGTGATTGCACATTTTGGGCTTTTTCCTTAGAGCAAAAACGTCATTTTAAAATACGAGAGAACACAAAAGGAACAACTGTCCAACAAAAGTACGAAACGAAATCCGATGACGTTTGCCAGCTACCTAACGGAGCAGGAAAATATAGCGGAAGTTCAATGCCGCTCAAGCAGTAACGCATTTTACCGACTGGAGATATTTCTGTTAACCCGTACAACGTTCACTTTATTCAGCATTTAAATTAACACAAAATAGACTTTTTTTGTGTTTTTTACTATTTTGGTAACATTCCGTGGATATGGATTCAACCCCAGCCCTGCTTCATAATTTATTTCTGTGCAGGTGTAAAAAAGGGAAATTTGAATGTCAGAAGTTGAATATGCATCATTTTACAAAATACGTTATAACTTCAACATTTTTCGTCCGATTTAGACAATCTTTAGCTTGACTTGTTTTCTATAAAATTATTTTGAACTAAAAATTTTATGTATCGGACAAAAAATTTTTTAATCAATAGTAAAACGTCGATAAATTTCAATAAATTCCAAAAAAGCTCAAAAAATTACAATTTTTTTAACTTGGAACGGCAGCTGTGGAAGTAATAATCACTAGATTACTAATAACGACATATTGCTGTAAACAGGAGGTCTTTCTAAAAATGTATGTATATCATTGCTTCATAACATCAACTTCCTCGGAGATTTCGGTGAAAAACTGAAATAAGACACGAAAAACACAAACAGAAAAATAAATCAGCGACCCCAAATTACCTCTTACCTTTGTAAATTATTGTAGCTTTTCCACAACATTTTTCATAAAAAACGGCCTCAAGCTTAAGAAAATTGTTGAATATAATTGTTATAAGGCCATACATAACAAAAAAATTCTGAATAAATAATAAGTTTAAGGTCAGCCAAAACTGTAAAACTTCCATCGATGTATCGTCAATTTCGCGATGTTAGTAAATTGTAAACATCGATGGCAAACATCGAAAATTCAACCGATATTATCGATGTTTCAAAAACATCGATGCATCGTTTGCATCCCTATGAACGGACGGTTTTCTGCGGGAAATTGGATATGTTACGTTTATAATTTAAAGTAACCAAATTAGACGAATATGTTAACTTTTAACAATTTTTCGCTACTTGGAGCGACATTTTTTCAATTTGAATCGTAATATCTCCACAACAAGAGTTTTCCCAGATATAAGCTATATACCAAATGAAAGCTAAGGTTTTGGGATAGACTTGAGGAAACTTAGAATAAAATCGACTGACCAGTTTTTAAGAAAATTCTGGAAATCTATATTTTCAGCAGCCCGATTTTTAGTTTTTAGGCGATAAAGTTATGCCGTATTTATAATTCATAAACGCAAAAGATAGATTAGATAGCTTGTTTTAAGGCCCTTCTGCTGATATCGACATGAATGGTATCGAATGAGTAGTGCGGCCTTAGTGGTAGTTTAAAATATTGCCTTTTTTCGAATTTCAGGCACCAGCCACGCCCTCAAAGGCATACGAATCGAAACATCCTGGAACAAAACAGACATATGTATATGTGGGAGGTATTTAGAGTAAAGTATATATAAATGACTTTGTAAAAGGGGGATAAATATGTATTCATCTATTATATCACTTGGATATTTAAAACTGTGTTTTTTTTTAACTTTGCAGTCTTTAGACCATTTCGAAGTGGAAAGATTAAATCGTTTTTTTGATCCCGTGATGCTGTTAAACGAAAAATTTTCATCCATAATTAATAAAACTCCTTCCGAAATAAACATTCTATACTACAACAGCTAAGCGAATAGGCAGCTAAACGGAATGTACCGTAGTAGACTAATTTTCATTTAAAAATTCTATCGTTGCATTAATCCACCTAATATTAATAATGAAAAAAGAATTGTTGTACGAAAAATAATGACAAATATATAGTAGTTAAAGCACGATAAAGCAAAAAGTATGGTTAATAAGGATGCCTTAATTTAAACAGAAACAAAATAGTTTGTCTCCTTGAATTTATGCTGAACTGAATATTTGTACTACAAAAAACGTTTTTTGGCTTTTGCCGGTTTAAGAGGGCATGAGGGTACACCCAACATATTTAGTGTTATTCTATAGGCCAATACCTTTCAAACGATACCTTATATATTACGCTCCGGCTACTAGTTGAAAAGATATAGAGCTAAATGTATTTTGGTTCGTGTCTCCACTACGAGATGCTTTGGTATGTATGGGGCGTCTGTACGTACCTGCATTTAATTTCTTTCAAACCTTCAGGAATTAAAGAACAAAAAAAACTAAGATGTTTTGATTTGTATGCCTTTGTGGGCGTGGCTGCTGCCTGAAATTCGAAAAAAGGCCATTTTTTAACTACCACTGAGGCCACAGTACTCAGTCCATGTCATTGATGTCGATATCAGTAGAAGAGTCTTCAAACAAGCTATCTAACGCTATTTTTTGTGTTTATAAAATATAAATATGTCATAACGTTATCGCCTGA